ATATATTATATGCATGTATACATTACCTGCAGACGTGCGTATTATACGTGGGGGGAATTTCAATATTAAAATGATAGTAGATAAAAACAAATTGTATCTACTAGTACTACCAGTCTTGAAGCAAGGATTTTAAAAGGTCTTCCTGATTGTTTTCGTATTTTCCCACTCACTACAGCACTTACTGGTATCGCTTGCTTAACAGCAAGTGTCTAAAGTAACATGTTAACAGCTACATAATTATGTTACATATGTACAAGTCTTAGAACACTTACATATACACTCTTGCTTCCACGACAATATACAACAATTGAAATCTGCTTGTTTATGCTAGATTGACATTATGTTCCCGGCGGCCACGGCAGCCCCGTTTGCCCGAAACGTAGTGCGCCGTGGGATTTTGGCCATTTTTTTCTCTGTATTCAAGTTTTGTTAGGTCTTGCCAAGTTTTCTCACGGTCTATCACGGTATCCGTGACGGGCCGTGGGGGGAGGGGCTCCAAAGGGGAAGGGGGAAAGGAGGCTCCAAGGCGCACTACGGTTCGGCCCGCGGTCTACCACGGATGCCAGTACGTTCCCTCCCGGCCCGTCACGTTCTGATGGGATGCCTCACGTTTCTCACGTTCTGATCAAGGTCTGCCACGTTTTTCACGTTCTGTCAAGGCTTTCTACGGATGAAACGTGGACGCCGGGCAGCTTTGGAGCACGTTTGTGCCCACGGTATAAAAAGAAGGCCTCCCAAGCAATAGCAATAGCAATGTGTCGTCGATTGCTCAGACTCGAATGAAGCTCCCCTGCCTGGCCGGGCTTTTATATACTCCCTCCCAGACTGGCATCCACGGCAATCACGGCCTGTCACGTTTGTCCATTCCGTCCCCCCGCGTTGTCTCACGTCCATCCCGTTTTGTCTACGGTGGCCTGAAACGTGATTGCCGTGGCCGCCGGGAACATAATGTCAACCTAGGATAAGATCATGTTGACGCGGTTACATGGTGATGCCACTTGTTTCTCGCAAGACCCCTGTCCGCTGTCCCTGTACTGTTACATGTTAACATGAATTCAGCAATAGAGATGTTGTGCCAGTCTAGAACCACGATGTCACTCAATGAGATGCACTTTTGTCAGGTGGTTGCCCCGTGGTTGCCGATATCAATCTAATGTCTATTTCAAGCGAATTGTCAATATACGAAAGAATACCCTACCCACACTGTAGCAGCGCTCACACATATGCTCCCCAACTCAAACAACGAACTTGTACTTTTCACGTTTGACGTTGTTTGTGTTGCTGTAATAATCAGTCAGTCAGTCACTAGGTGACCTCATACACCATACATATTTTATTATATATTATTATAATATATTATAAACGTTCCATCAGTACCATCACACCATTAAATTAGTTGGAGTTAGATTGTATGCAGAACCAGTAGTGAACAACTACGTTGCGTATGCACAGTGTTGGTAGATAGGACAATATATATAATGTGTGTGTGTGTGTGGTGCGATGCGTGCGGTGTTGGTCGTGCGTCGAATTGATGTGTGTGAGTGTGATAGAGTACGGGTTCGGACTTCCGATTACGAGAACATCTTTTTTTATTTGAATGTGTGTGTGTAGATTGATGTGTTTTCTGTGGTTTGCATTGTTTGTTTAGGTTTGTTTGATTCAATCTTATTTTCGCAATGATACGTAATATCATGGTGAATCCGGGGCCTATAATTTGCTATCACGATGAATCACACTAGGATATTACGCTACGAATAGGCAGTGAAATTGCCCTGAAACAACGAGCGTTGACAAGCAAATGGATATCAACTTACCTTCATTTTCGGATCCTTACAATAAAGGTTTGGCTTTCTCACAACGATAGAGAATGTCTCTTGCTGTTCTTATACGCATCTTTGATTGTG